GTATGTATGTATGTATGTATGGTCTGCATGCATGAGTGCATCTTCGTTGGTAGCGGTAACGTGCATGCCATCGTGTCGTCAGACACAGCAGTCAGCAGGGAGAAGTACCTTGATCAGGGCAGAATGGGTACTCTGGTCGAGGATGGGATGGGTTGGATGGACGGAGGGTCACACAAGCCAAGACAGAAGAGCCGCAAGTTTCAAGGGCCGAAAGCGGAAGGATGGGATGGGATGGGATGGGATGGGTTGGGTTGACTTGGGTTGGGTGACAGCACTAAGGCAGGTCGCTTGTCTGAAGGCTGTGATTCGCGGTTTCGAGAGTCGAGGCAGCAGGCGGCGTGTAGATGTTGTTGTCTGTGATGGTGGTGGTGGTGGTGGTGGAGAAGACAGGTCCATGTTTATTCGATGTACTGTGATGTACTAGTAGTACCTTGCCGTGTCTAACCCCCTGCCTTTGGTCACTACATACTTCTCTCAGGGATGTAGTGGCACTGCACGATGGAAGATGGAGACGAAAGAATGCCGGTGTGCCCATCATCGACCATCCCAAGATTCCCTAGGTCCCTTGGTAGCAGGTTGGGGGCGCAAATGCTCTCTCCAGGCACATCACCCCGCTCCGATCGATAAGGGTAAGTAAGGTGACTAAGTCAGGTACGGTACAGCACAGTACTGAATGATTTCCTGATACCATAGTCCCATCTTCTACCGTTCTTGCAACCCGTAAAGGTAGGCCGCAGATAAGTCTGAGTTATACAAATGTATTCATGTGAATATGTGAGAATGTAGAATGCGGGAAGGAGCCCTGAATGCATCGATCGTGTTGTTGCATGTACTCTACTGTACTGTATAACGTTAGTACCTGCCTACCAACTTACCCACCTTAAGAGCTCCAGGTAACCGACAGCGCGACTTGGCAGTTAAGCGCCGAGCACAGCCAGCAACCGCGCCGCAGGTGGGGGATCATCCATCACGGTACTGTACATGTACCACCATGTACTAGACAACCAAACAGCCTGCTCGTAATATGCTCGCGGGTGGAGGGTGCGGGAGAGTTCAGATGAATCCGTAAATAGATTTTTCGTCTGATCATCCCGAGTCCTGCACAGCTTACTACTTTATGCCGTACGGTAATGGCACTGTCCTCCACTCCACAGGACATAGAAGTCTAGGCCTGGTCTTTCACCCTGAGGTGGTTTTCTGTAATGACAGGTAGGTAACTAACTAACTAGGTAGGTAGATGGCACTTCAGCTTAGTCAGTTCACTTCATATCTCATCTCTCCTTAGACAAAGCAACTTGAGCAATGAATCAAACAGTTGCACACGTGCAGAGAGACCCTACTAGCTAGCTAGGTAGCTTTAGCTGTTATATGCCTTGTCCTCCTCCAAGAAGAAATGGGCCAGAAAGAAGCCAATTCAAAGGCTTTGGAAGCTGCTGAACAGTGTGCTGAAGAGTGCCGTGCTGTGCTGGTGTTGGTGGCATACAGTTGGCCAGAGGAGACATCATTTTTCTCTTGCTTTATTACAAGTTAGATAGATGTCTCTAAAGAGGAAGGTAGGTAGGCAAGTACCTTGCAAGCCTTCGCCGAAAGGAAAACAATATTAGAGAAGAAAAGGGTAAGGCGAAAAGCACTTTACGCGCCTCGACGCGTGTTGTTCTCCCAAACACCAGACCAACACATAATAATACCTGCCTCCCTTGGGCAATTACTGTATGTAAACACAGATATCCCATATTCATACCCAAACACACATTGACATTGGCACATTGACCGTTCTCACCACAGTTTCTCCTTTTCCACTCACTGCTCTCTCTCTCTCTCTCTATCTCTGTCCCTCGACATGTCTACCCCCGGCCCCGCCCCCGTCGACGTTGTCGCCCACATCGCGTCGGCAGATGAGTTTTCAGCACTCATCTCGTCCAACACGTACGTCGTCGCCGACTTCTTCGCCGACTGGTGTCCTCCCTGCAAGGCCATTGCGCCTCTCTACACCAAGATGGCCACTGCCAGCAGCGTCCCCGGCCGCCTCGCCTTTGCCAAGATCAACGTCGACCACGTCCCTGCCGTCGCCCAGTCCTACGGCATCTCCTCCATGCCCACCTTCCTCTTCTTCGCCGACGGCCGCCCCGAGCCCGTCGCCACTCTCCCCGCCAACGGCCCCACCCCGGCCGGCCCCTGCGTCCACCTCGTCGACGCCAAGGTCGCCCAGATCCGCGGCGCCGATCCCCGCGCCCTCAACGCCGTCGTCCTCGCCCTCACCGCCCTGGCCAAGGCCGCCCCGCCAGTCAACCCCGACGCCCACGCCCAGCCAAAACCGTCCTTGGTGGCCGGCGATGCCAACACAGTGGTGAGTCGTTGCCGCCAGAACCCTTCGCATCCACACCCAGCCCCCCTCCCTCTAGGTAGTCTTGCAGAATGGCACGCCTGACACGCTGTGACAAACAGGCTGCTTGAGGCTCCGTAGACAAGCCTATGAAAAGAGAATCGCATCGTGCATGAACGAGTTTCTTGTCTATAACGCAACAGCAAGCAAATTGGCATCGGGGCAGGGCGGACAGCTCGCTTAAACTACGTGTCTTTAATGCCACGTTCACCTGGGACTGTTGCTCAAACAAGTCTGTACTACGAACTTCATTACAACTCTCTCGATCAAACTTGATACTAGGCGGAGATGGTACGAGAGGCCCGTCCGTCTTAATCTCATACTCATACCACCACAAATACTCAGCAAGACACACACGATCCGGGCCACAAGACAGGTAGATTGCCCAGCCTCTATTATAGCCCGACCCCGTATGCCCCAATTTGATCCACCGTGCAAGTCACACAGATAGATGACACAAGGCTTCCAATTACAGTCCATGCTTGCTTTCTTAATTCTTCGGTGCTGCTGCTGCTACTTCTCCTACTACTCTTTCCAAATGTGGTATCATGTTGCCAAAAAGACTCCCTCTGCTTTCTCTTGGGAAGATCATTACGCCACGCCACGCCACGCCACGCCATACATAAAGTGGAATGCGACGTAGATGCCATCCAGTCAAGCCCTTTCAAACACTCCCATGCCCACTACCCGCCGGAGCCGCCGAACACAGCACATTCTTCTACCCGGACGCCACAATCTCTCTGGGCTACTGTCTATCCTTCCAATGCTGTAACAAATCATCGCCATCGCCGGGAAAGCCCCTTTCAGGAGACACTGGCACTCATATAGTTCGTCGTCATCGTCATCGCCGTCGTCATGCTTCGACCAGGTTGCCACACCGCCCGCAAGCCAATCGCTGCCGGCCAGCGACTCGCCGCGCCTTGAAGTTCTTACTTCCGCACTTGGAGCACCTCATCTCCTCGCCCTCTTCGGCATCGGTCCGGTCGTCCTCGCTCGTCAGCTCTGAGCTCAGTTTGCTCACGACTGAGTCAGCCCTGAGGTATGGGGAGCGGTCTCTTTCGCCCGGGGTTAGGCGAGCATTCTCTTCGCTCAAAGAGCCGGCAGAGAGCGGAGACGGTCGACGGTTCCCCTCGGCGCTCAAATCACGCTGAACTGCAGTCCCCGGCGGCATGCTTTGCCTTCGAAGGCCTTTAGGCCCGTCATCGTGAGAAACAGTGGGGCTTAATTGGATAGATGTCGAGTTGGCCAGAGGTGACTTGATCGTCGGACCTACGCTCTTACGTCTTGTCGCCCTGTCCTTGTCCTTGTCTTTGTCTCGATCCTTCTCGAGCCCCGACGACGGCGTGGCTTCGCTGGCAGTCCTTGTGTGGTGGCCATGGGAGCTGCTCCCTGTAGAGTTTGTTGTGCCGCCACCGATGGCACTCTTGAGCCCAGCGATGCCTCTCCACCTGTTCAGATTCCAGAAGCTGTAACTTGCCCCGGCAGCATCCAACCGCAGCTCATCATCCTCGTCGGCGGGGCGGAACACAAAGCTCGGTATTGGCGGAGATGCCGGTCCGCCCTCTTCTTCTCGCGGGTCGCCTTCCTTCGACGGTCTTGATTCGTCTTGGTTTTGATTGAGTCTTACCGAGAGGCTATCAGTCCTATGTGGTAATCCCGGACTGGCCACACTGCTAATTGGACTTGCCGGCATGCTCTCGGAGGGATTATTACTGTTATAATTGTGGCTCCGAGCGTGATTTGGTGAGACGGTTGCATATTGCTGCTTTCGCGCATCAGCAGCCAGATTGCCCTTGCTCCCGCTTGCGGGGGTGCGCATGTTTTTGCTTGGAGAAATGCTCCGCTCACTCCTGGTTGGTGTTCCGATGCTACCAACCAGCGACGACGGTCTGCCGCCCTCGATGTTCTGCCGCCATGATAGTATCATGTCTGAGCTCACCTGGGGGCTCCCGTGGGCACTGTTGCCTCCAGTCAGCACACCGGGAGGTAGCGGCTGGCTCAAACTTCCGCGTCTCGAGTGCGCCGCGCTGCTTGCGCTGGTCCGGGTCAAAATGCTTGCGCTCCGTCCCACGAGCCCGGTCCCATGCGCACCGAGCTTCTTGGAGAAGGCACTCCCAGTCTCCCAGTTCTCGTGTCTTCTCTTGGCGAAGGCACAGTCCTGCCTGAAGATTTTAATGATCCCATGCTCATCGGTTGTGACGATGATGTTGCCGTCATAATGCGTTGACCGCGCAATATAACCAGGGGACTCTTCTGGTTTCTTGATGCTGAGTGTCGGGGTTGGGAGCGGCTCATGGTTCTGGCTCAGCTCCGACAGGCCTGTCTGGGATGCGACTGCCGTACTCTCGTCGGTGGGCAGGAGAGTGACTGGCGGCGGGTTGCAGAGGTCGTAGATTGGGTCCCCAGAGCCGGACAGGAGCATCCTGGTCTTCGTTGGGGCGAAGACAGCCGTCGTGACGATCTCCCCATGCGCGTTAAAACTTTCGTATGCCTGCTTGTCTTTGTTTTCGGCATCTGCAGGGCTCATATTCCAGATGAAGGTTTTCCGGTCCTCACTGCCGCTGATGACGTACGTTCCATCATCGCTGAAACTTGCACTGATCTGTGTGGAGGTATTCTCATGGCCTTTGAACTTGACCTCAAGACTGCCGTCTTTCATGCTGTACACGCGTATGCGGGAGTCATTTGTAGATATGAGTACCCGAACTTCACCAGTCTCAGTGCCACCGGAGGCATTTGAACCCGGTGCAAAGATCATCGTCTGTATGCCAGTGATCTTAGACCCTCTCGAGTTCTTGCCCCGGGACGACTTTGCGTGGATCTGACTACTATACTTCAAGCCCTCCGTCTCGTAGAGCATGCACAGCCCATTCAGCACGCCCGCAATCGCCGTCTTGCCGTCTGGTGAAAAAGCCACAGCCGTGATTAGATCTGGTAATTGTACGGTGTAAGCAACCGACTTGTCGGGTATGCTCCATAGCCTCAGCATAGTATCCAGGCTACCAGCCAAGAAAAAACGGTCGTCGGTAGGATGGAACGCAACCTTGGTGACCAAGTCCTTATGCTTGAAGGTACAAAGACACTCTTTGCGGCTGACGTGCCATAGCCGGACCGTCTTATCCATGCTGGTGGACAAGAGAAAGTTGTTTTTGCTCCAGCTCAGATCTAGAACCTCGCCTGTATGCCCCGCGAACTCACGAACAGGTCGCTCCTTGAACACCGGGGCGGACAGCCTCTCGCCAACCGCGCCGCTCGCCGCTTCCTCCTCTTCCTCGGTTCTGCGATCCTCTTGGGTGACAATCACGGCCCATACCCTGACAACCGCGTCCTTGCCAGCGGCAGCAAAATATCTCCCATCCTTAGAGAACTCGGTCGCCCAGATGGCTCCGCCGGTCCGCTGCCTCCTTCGACCTCCCGCGCCAGCAACGCTCACGGTCACAATAGGACCCTTTTCCTCCACGCCATCTTGTGTCGCCTTCGGGTGTGTGCCGACCAGTTCTTGGGCCAGAAACATGCGGTTGAATTCCCGGTTCCTCTTGTTGTGCGCCTTGATGCGAATATACCTCGGTGGCTCTTTGTGGTGGGGTATGTAGCCTCCAGCTTCGACGATGCTCGAAAACACGCGCGCATTGCTACCGTCGGTCCGTGGCTCTCCGCTGAATTCAGAGTCACTGTCGGGGATATCGTCGTCTTTGGGCCTTTTGGAGGCGCGCATACTGAGGCGGCTGAGAAACGAGACGCCCTTCCTGGTAGTCACGAGGTCTGTCAGCACGAATCTCTCTTCACGGAATGTGGGTGGTTGTGGTTGTGATTAGAACCAGCTTGATTCGATAGCAACGCTCTACCGGTACAACAAACATACTTCTTGTCTTTCGCAGCATCCCCAACAGGTGTGGATTGTATTGAGTTGAGATCCAAGTTGGGATTTGGGGCGCCGTCGGTAGCCGGGCTGGGGCTTTCGGGGCGAGCTGTAGCAGAGTTCCTCAGGCGACTTTGCTTCGATACGGAGTGGTCGGTGTTTGTGCGCCGGAAGATGTGCTATGTCAGAGGCAGCATCGTCAGTAACCGTCATTTCGAACCACAGTCCATCCCAGAATACATCTGATGCCCGCCGCAGCTCCATTATCATATCAAGCAGTTGAGTAGGTTGTGTCTCGAATCTCCCCGCAAATGAAACCTGCAATCCAGGATGGGACCAGCATGTACGTACCTGCGACAGAGGGTCAACGGCGGTGTTGCTCGGCGTGTTCACTGGCTGAGGAGCGACGGATGAAGGCGTGGCCCGGGCAGCGCTGAGAGAACCGTTGGCGCCGTCATCGGCATGCTCCTTGTCCCTGAGCTTGTCCTTCGAGGCGCCGATCAACGTACCGGTTCGAGCAAGCCTAGCTGGCGTCCTCTTGTTTGGTGTAGAAGCGCCGGGGGCGTGTGTGCCTAGGGTTGCGGCGCCGTTGTCAGCAAGCAGATTATGAGAATGTTACCGAGGAGCGAGCACGTCACGGTGAAGAGAATAGTGTAGGGCGTAGTACGAAAGGGTACAGTATAGCCAGCTTCAACCACCGGGATGGTAGGAAGAAAGGCACAGGGCAGTGACTTAGGCCCAGAAGGAGGCGGGAACGGAGGACTGCTGATGCCAGAAGGCCAGTACTCCGCGGGAGTGCGTGGGTGGGCATGAAGGTGCCGATGTACGTGTATGATATGAGAAGGTCCATGTATAGTGGGACAGCAAATATGAGAACTACATACCGCCGTAAGCGTCCGAGGATGTTGTAGCTGACTTGGTGTCTCGACTGGCGGCGGCGGCGGCGGCGGCAGTAGCAGGTGAATGTGGCGCGTCAGACGGTAATGGTTCATGGGGGGCCGAGGTAATTGTAGTCGTAGTAGGGGAGGAGGAAGTGGACAGCATCCTCTCGGCGAGGCGGTCAGACCTGTCATGCTGCTGGCTGTCCTGGGAGACGTTCAGGGCCGGAAGAGTGGCAGCCATCATCTCCCATCATGTGTGACGCCTCGGCGGAGCCTCATTCGCAATTTGAGTCGGGCCCGATCTGCTCTGGTCTGCTCTGGTCGGGTCAAGTGCTCTGATACTCTGGTAGTGTTCAGCACAGTCCTATACAGTAGGTATCGCGAGGAGGGGATTTCAAGAGCTTGGCGCCTGGGTGGCTTGATGGACGAGCGAGCGGGTCAGATTGACGTTGGGCCCGTATAATGCGAAGGCCAGTACCAGCACCGGTACAGTACCGTACCTACAGGGAGGAGAGGACGAGCTGAGGAGCTGAGGAGCCCAGGGCGCGCGGCACGGCACGGCGCAAACAACTCAGGATCGCAACGT